CATCGAGAGGGTCCAAAGGAGGGCCACTAGCGTGATTGGGGGCAGGAAGGCAGGCCCTATGAGGGGAGGCTATGGGACCTAAACCTGTTCAGCCTCCACAAGAGAAGGCTGAAAGGGGATCTGGTGGCTGTCTATAAACTGGCCAAGGGGGACTAGCAGGCAATGGAAGAGTCCCTGTTCCCCTGAGCACTACCGGGAGTAACAAGGAAAAATGGCCATAAGTTGACTGAGAGTAGATTCAGGCTAGACATCAGGAGGCGCTACTTCACAGTCAGGGCAGCTAGGATCTGGAACCAACTTTCAAGGGAAGTGGTGCTGGCTTGTACCCTGGGGGTCTTCAGAAGGAGGCTGGATAATCACCTAGCCGGGGTCATTTGACCCCAGCATTCTGTCCTGTCCATGGCAGGGAGTCGGACTTGATGAAACCATGAAACTATGTTCAACTTAAATAAGACACTGATTCAATTGATTATGTAAATTTTTGATGTTGTCTGAGAGTGACTCAAGAAGTTGTAACCAAGATAAAAATCTATGTAGATTGCCAGTGTTTTACTGTGGCAGTAACGTTGCCTGACTAATAACATCAAAATTAATCAAGACGTGGCAGACGAAAGGAGTCAGACTATACCGCACGGGTCCCTAGACATGGCAATTGGGGAAATAAGGGTTAAAATCAAAACCCCAAATCAGCGGTAACCTCACAGTGGGTATTGCATTATTTGAATCCCCTCACTGCATTACTGAAGAACCAGTCCTCAGCTTTTATACGTGTTTGAGACAGCTGAGCATTGCATTTTCCAGCCTCTCTTGTTCAGGCTACGGGCATAGTATCTGGCTTTGGAGAGGGTTTGGAAAACTTTCCTCAGCATAGAAATGACCAATATTCTGTGCAAGGGCATGTTTCCATTTATTTCTTTAGAAAGTTAGACAAGGCCACATGTTTTATTTGGAGAACAGTTCTGTTTATTTTCAAATGCTTTTCCATCAAGACTCTCTTTAATGACTTTGAAGGAAATGATATTTGGAACACAGTATGAGCTGCATAATAAACAATACCTACTATATATACTATCTTCCCCGTTACCTCCCTCTTTACAGAAGTGCTGATGATATTTTAACAAGCAAGATCTAATATGGGAGCATTGTTGCCCATTTAAATTTCCACCAGGCACTGCTGTACTAAAGGGCACTCTGATTTTGTGGTACTCCTACTCAGCAATTTCTGCTGGTGTGTCAACCATGGAAGATTATGGAGGAAGAACAAAAGGAAGGGAGCAGAAAGAGTGAGCAGGGGCATTAGAGAATAAGTAGTATGTAATTTGTTCAGAGTTTTGGAATGACAGAAGCAGTAGCAGCACAAACAGCAGAAGAAAATGCTAAATATAGGTTCTTCTCTAGTTATTGAATTAAAAGAATTTATTTCATATAAATATATTTGACAACATTTTAAGTAAATTGTACTCAGTGGAATAGGTAACCCGTGGAGAAATTTGGATCATACCCAAGATTCCTGGGACACTGTTCTAGACATCGAGTGGTGTGGTGACAACCAGGATGAACTGTAGCCTGCAGCTGGCCCAGAAAGATGGTATTATCCAGATATAGTGAAATGATTTTCTTAATTAAATCACTTCCCCATATCTATTAACGTTAAAAACAGATCTTGACAAAATGCTAATTCAGTTACACTTTCAAGAGCCATATTGCTCAACCACCTGGCAGTGCTGATGCTGCTCATTTGTGCATGGAGAAAAAGTGTCTGGTAATTAGAACAGAAGACTGAGACTGAGAACTCTTGGGTTCTAGCCCTAACTTTGTCACTGACTTACTGCCTGGCTGTTTGCCTCAGTGTGGCCATCTGTAAAATCTGTAGTTCTGTTAGAGGTACACATAGCCATCAGTTGTTAAAGATTGTAACTCTTTGCAAGTCTGATGTTGGATGTAAATGCACTTAAATTTCCAGGAAAAAATTCTGTAATGTCAGAAATCACTAATGGATCTCTAGCCAAAGTGTCTCAAGTTTAACTTACAATTTTCTCTCTACTAAGGATTTTTAAATGTTCTATTTTTAACACATTTTTGCATTTGTTAGATGGTCTCAATACAATTTACAAAATATATTGTACATGAATGCAAAGTGCTACCTTTTATTACAAAATATATATAGGCTTGCTCATTTGGAACATTTGGGCTCCTAAATTGTATCCAAAAAAATCTAACAGTCATCTTTTTTTTTTAACTTCCACAGACCAGATAGAAAATCCCTCCATAGTCTTGCCTATGATACAAAAGATAGGTTAACTTGCTTAATTGAGTAGGCCATAAGAATAAGTATAGATATTTTAATAAGTTTATAAGTTCAAGTATTTTAATATCTGTTTGATAAATTGTTTAGTGAACAGTCTAACCTATAACTAGATGTGTAATACTAAATATATAACTTTGGGAGGGTGGGTGCTGGTGCAGCAAGAAATCTATTCTGAGGTCAGCCTGACCCAACTGGAAAGAGGAAGACAGCAAGGAAGATGGCGAGGTCGACCTGACCCAACTGAAAAGAGGAAGATGGCCTTATGATGATAAAAATCACTAAATTATAACTAACAACCAAAAAAAGTGTAACGATGACTAATCTCATTATACCATATGTAAGACAAGCATATAAATATAGAGGGTCCGACCCCTCAAGGGTGTAGCTCTTGACCCGTAAGGCGGGAGTCTACCCTTCTGCAGGAGCAATAAAATTTTTACTGGCACTCCTGTGTCTCTTGACTTATATTATCACGGCTAGTACCCACAATGAGAGACCAAGCTGTCCTTTCCTGGTTGGGCAGCTAACTCAGGTTTTGCTGACACCTAGCAGTCAAGTGAAAACTTGTCAAGAAAAATGAGCCTTGCAATGTGCCCTCAGCACCAGTAAAGCTAGGCTCGAATCTAGAAGGGCATTGGAGGGAGCAAGTTATAGGATAGCTTTCATGATGACTGTCTTGCCTCCTGTTCTCCAGAGTTCAAGTGCAAGGAATGTCAACAGGCTCATTATAGGTGATTTCCACCCACATAGTAGTCATTAGGAAGAGAAGGATTTTCTCAAGTAGCAAGACTTCAAATTTTGATAGGATTAATTATTAGAAGCTGTTTAATTTTAAATGTCATCTTCCAGCAGACTGAAAGTCAGTGCAAGGAATGGAGCTTAGGCATTCTTTGCCAGTATCAAGCTACAACTCATTCAAGGCTTACTAGAGTATCTGGAGTCCTACAAGGAAAATGAGTAAAGCATAGTGCAATATATTGCATATTGCAAGTGCTCATTATTGCCTCAGTATAAATAGAGGGCCAGAAACTTCTGTATATACTGCTTATTTCTTAAATTCAAAGACCCAGATCCTGGCCCATGCTAAGTTCACTTTGAGTCTACTATGCAGTGAAATAGAACAGGGGCAGTGAATGATTGCACTGGTATAAAATAATCTTCAGAGGACACTGGCTTTACTGCCTCCATTCTATGCAAGGTAGGACAAGGTATGTTTGATCAGCAGGGCCAGAGCATGACACTTCATTTGAAGAGGCTGTTCCATAACTTCCTGTTATAATTGTAGCAATTTATAGAACTCATTGGGATTGTAAAGGCATCAAAATTCAAGGAGATACTAAATTTTGACCATGGAAACTAACAGTTGCATTGAATTGACTGACAATTGGCAATTTACTACTCTATCTTATCAACCTAAATCACATTGTTTATAAGCCATATTGCTTACTACCCTCTGATGGACTATCAGAAAAAAGGATGTCTTGAAACCCACCAGTGCCTCGTAATAAGGACACACACACACACACACACACACACACACAGAAGGAGACAATATAGAGAAAAATCAGATATTCATAGCAGAAGATGACAGACAGGCAGACAGCACACAATTTTTACATAACTCTTAACAATGAAGCAAACAATCAAAGAAGAGGCCAGTCCACACATGTAACAGAGGGAATAAAATGCACAATACAAAAGGATTCACACACACACAGACATTTTGCAGCACAGGAAAGATCAATATGAAGCATGCTGGAAAGACAGGTGCCAGGTCTTCTAGCAGGGGAGGGAGAGGGGGTAGGGGGAAAGCTAGAGCTGCAAGCCCCCCCCCCCACCGACACATTCTCTTCCCAAGCAGCCATGACATCGGTGCTGCCAGTGGAAGCCAGGCGGTGGGAGCAGTGTCTGCACCCAACATTCCTGCACCTGCTCCACCTCCGCTCAGTCCAGAAGTGGGCACCAGCAGTGGAATCACTGTCTCCTCCACCTCAATTTCAGCTCTCAGCATGAGCCTCCCACTGCCAGAGGAGGACCTGGAGCTGGAACCAGGGATGCTGAACGCACTGGCTCAAGCAATTCTGGGGATTGAGGGGGAATCAGAGTTTGTGCTCCACACCTCTCAAGTGTCCCCTAGACCCAGGTCTCCTCTGGAAAGCAGCACCTCAGAGGAGGCTGAGGATGTGGAGGTAAGTGGCTCAGCTGAGGCAGCTCCTCCTGCTGTTGAGCCTCAGCCTGCTGAGAAGGGGGAAAAGGCAGGATCCTCACCCTCAACTCAAAAGTGGGGGAGTAACGTAGTGTAGGAACATTTTGAGGTGGCAGATGATCCCAGGTTTGCCATCTGGCAGCACTGCCGAAGGCACATGAGCTGTAACAAGGACATGAGACACTTCTCCACCACGGCCATGCTGCTGCATCTGAGGAGACACCACCCCCTTGCTCTTCTTCCTGCTCAGCCTGGCACCAGTGTGTGTGTGCCGAAAGGGAAGTCCCCCGCTCGCCCCAAAGCCCCCTTCCCCCCAGAGCAGAGGCAGGCCACCCTGGACCAGTGGGGAAAGGTGAACAGAAAAGGGGGAGCATTCCCAAGGTAAGTGAGATCACCCAGAGCATTGGGGAGATGCTTGCTCTGGATAGCCACACACAGGCTGCACCTAATAGTGAGGGATGCCTTGGAGGGGGACAGGGCTGCCGGTGACAGTGCCGCCACCACTGCTGCTGCAAGCCAACTGATTTTGAAATGCAGGAAGGTGGCAAGCTACTTCCACCGCAGCATTAAAGGGGGCAAGATACTGCAGGAGAAACAGGCAGAGCTGAACATCCCGTAGCACAGAATCATCCAGGATGTGGAGACTCAGTGGAACTCCACATACCTGATGCTACAAAGGTTGGAGGAGCAACAGAAGGCCATCCATGAGATCACCTTGCTTGGGGAGATTGGGATCAGCAGCCCCCTGAACAGAGCTGAGTGGGATACCATCTCCCAGATCTTGGTGGTCCTCACGACCTTCCTCGAGGCCACCAAGACCCTTAGCGCTGGCAATGCCTTCCTCAGCCAGGTGATCCCCCTAGTGAGGGAACTGCAGAACCAAATGGAGAAGTTCTGGTGTGGCATACTGTCCCTTAGGCCATAGGGGTGAGGCATAGATGGGAACAGAATGGAGCTAGGTAGGGAGCAGGCATATAAAGGGGGTGGGGGCAGCAGGGCACCACCTCTGCTGCTGCAGTCCCCAGCTGACCAGGTGTGGGGCACAGCTGTGCAGGCTGCCATATTCAGCTAGGGAGAGTGGTGGCACATAGATTCCTCCTTCCAGCCCCTGCCCCCTCCCTGTGCTCCCCACAGCTTATTTGTCCCCTGCTGGCCAGGAGCTGGCTCTGGAAGGAGGAGCCTGCACACCAGCAGTGCTGGCTGAGCCTTGCTCCCCACAATCAGACTGCCACCCACCTGCTGGATCTGGCCTTGAAGGGCAGTGAAAGTGACTCTGCAGCAAAGGAGGGCCAATATTCCACAAATAGGTGAAGTCATTCACAGTTCATTATTTGTTTCACTTCTATGATATATCTCAGCCACCTTTTTTTACACAAGTCCATCTTGTAGCCAGATTTGTAAAGGGTTTCAAGCACAAAATTGCAGGGTTTCAAGCACAAAATTGTACCACCTACCCCTGAAAGTGAAATACAGGTGATTATTTTCAGCATGCCTGATTGTCTTGAGTCATGTAATATGTTTGTTTAAACCTGAAGGGTGGCACAATTGGAAGTATGTAGTACCACACCTGAAACAGCTCTGAACTGAGTAATTCATTACCCAATACCAGTGTCCAAGCTAGCCTCACTGAAAAATACAGTATATAATTTTTTTTAATCCTTAGTCAGAGCTGGACAACTATATTAACTTCTCAGCACAGTAATTGCTTATTTGCACAGCATGAAAAAATGGTGGCATGTAAACTTAGCTTCTAAGCTGGAAAACTTTCAAAACAGTTTTGAAAGCTAGCACAAAGCACCTATGAAAACTGGATGCACCTTAAAAGGAAAGATATTAATTCT